AGCGTTCCAGCCGTCTGAGAAGTTGTCGGTGCCTTCGGGCTTCTCAGGAGGCCAGGGGGCTTCCGAGCCTTCTGAGCAGGCCCGCCCCTTCTCAATGCCACCCCCCGGTCCGCCGCCGATCAACGTCCGAGGAGGAAAGGTACCGATACCGCTGCCCTCGCCGCGTTTTCGCCTTTTTGGGGGGCCTCCTGGGTGGCCACCGTCGCCGCCGTTGGGCTCGCTTCGAAATTCTGGTCAGAGCGCACCCCGGGAGAGGTCTGGGGAGTTGCGGTGCTGGGCACGCGCGCGGGAGAGATGCTGTTGCCAGGTCAGCGCGCATGACGCGCGCGACGGGGCTTGTTTTTTTCTACTCTACGACTTCGTTCTTCTCGGTCTTCTCCTCGGTCGTCTACTCTGCTGTTGCCCGGTCCCCTCGGTCTTCTCCTCCTCCACCTCCTCCTCCTCCTCCTCCTCCCCCTCTTCTTCCCTTCTCGTCCTCCTCTTTCTCCTCCTTGGTCTCTGCTCGTGCGCGACGGGGCTTGGTTTTTCTACTCCACGATCTTGTTGTTTTCTGAAATTGTTCCCTTGGTCTCCTCCCCCGTTTCCTCCTCCGCCTCCTCCTCCTCTTCCCTCCTCCTCCTCCTCCTCCTCCTCCTCCTCCTCCTCCTCCTCCTCCTCCTTGGTCTCTGCGCATGCGAGACGGGGCTTGGTTTTTCTCTCTACGATCTTGTTTTCGTTCTGGAATAGTCCCCTTGGTCTCCTCCTCCTCCGTCTCCTCCCTCGTTTTCCTCCTCCTTGGTCTCGGTGGTTGTTGTGCTGGGCTGGTGGTGGCTGTTTTGGGCTGATGGTGGTTGTGCTGGTGGTGGTTGTGCTGGTGGTGGTTGTGTTGGCGGTTGTGCTGATAGGTTTCCTTCAGACATTTTCCGGATTTCCCCCAGATCTTCCGCCAGATGTTCGCCCAGGTGTCTTCTTGGATGATGTATGAAATAATGATGACGACGATAATGCCCCAAACCTCGACCGAACCTCGAACTTCGAAAATCGAAGTCCGACGGCGATGCCGGCGGTGGTTGTGCGGGTGGTTGTGCTAGTCTTGGTGGTGCTGGTGGTGGTCGTGCTGGTGGTTGTGCTGGTGGTTGTGCTAGTGGTTGTACTGGTGGTTGTGCTGGCGGCACTGGTGGTGGTTGTGCTTGTGGTTATGGTGGTGGTTGTGCTTGTGGTTGTGCTGGCGGCACTGGTGCTGGGTACGCTGGTGGTTGTGCTGGTGGTTGTGCTGGTGGGGGTTGTGCTGGTGATTGTGCTGGTGGTCGTGCTGGTGGTTGAGCTGGCGGTTGTGATGGCGGCGCTGGTGGTGATTGTGCAGGTGGTTGTGCTGGTGGTTGTGCTGGTGGTAGTTGTGTTCGTGGTTGCGTTGGTGGTCATGCTCGTGGTCGTGCTGGTGGTCGTGCTGACGGCGCTGGTGGTGGTTCCGCTCAACCACCAGCACGACCATCAGCACGACCACCAGCACGACCACCAGCACGACCACAACCCTCGCGACCGCCAGCACGACAACCACCAGCACGACCGCCAGCACGACCGCCAGCACGACCACCAGCACGACCACCAGCAGCGCGACCACCAGCACGACCACCAGCACGAGCAGAAACCAGCACGACCACCAGCACAACCACCAGCACGACCACCAGCACGACCACCACCAGCACGACCACCAGCACGGCCACCACCGGCACGATCCCCAGCACGACAACCAGCACGACCAGCCACCAGCTCGACTACCAACACGACCACCAGCACGACCACCAGCCCGGCCAGCTTGACCAGCAACCAGCATGACCACCAGCCCGACCACCACCAGCACGACCACATGCGCGCCCGCCAGAACGACCAGCAAGCAGTACGACCACCAGCAAGAATAGCCACCAGCACGACCACCAAGCAGCACGACCACCAGCACGACCACCAGCACCACCGCCAGCACGACCACCACCAGCACGACCAGCCACCAGCACGATCAGCAGCACGACCACCACCAGCACGACCACCACCACGACCACCAGCACGACCACCAGCACGACCACCAGCACGACCAGCCACCAGCACGACCATCAGCACGATCACCAGCACGACCAGCAACCAGCACGACCAGCCACCAGCACGACCAGCCACCAGCACGACCACCAGCACGACAACCACCAGCACGACCACCAGCAAGAACACCAGCACGACCAACCACCAGCACGACCACCAGCACGACCACCAGCACGACCACCACCAGTCTGACCAGCAGCACGACCACCACCAGCACGACCGCCAGCACAACCACCAGCACGACCAGCCACCAGCACGACCAGCCACCAGCACGACCACCAGAGCGACCACCAGCACGACCACCACGACCAACCACCAGCACGACCAGCCATCAGCATGACCAGCAGCATGACCGCCACCAGCGCGACCACCAGCACGACCAACTACCAGCACGACCACCAGCACGACCAGCCGCCAGCACGACCACCAGCACGACCACCACCAGCACGACCACCAGCACGGCCACCAGCACGACCACCAGCACGACCGCCAGCACGACCACCACCAGCACGACAACCAGCACGACCAGCATCACGACCACCAGCACGGCCACCAGCACGACCACCAGCACCACCGCCAGCACGACCACCACCAGCACGACAGGCCACCAGCACGACCATCAGCACGACCACCATCGGCACGACCACTAGCACGACCACCAGCACGACAGGCTACCACCACGACCACCAGCACGACCACCAGCAAGAACACCAGCACGACCACCAGCACGACCACCAGCACGACCAGCCAGCAAGACCACCACCAGCACGACCTCCAGCACGACCGCCAGCACGACCACCAGCACGACCAGCTATCAGGCCGACCTCCAGCACGACCACCACCAGCACGACCACCAGCACGACCACCAGCACGACCCGCCCCCAGGACGACCACCAGCACGACCACCACCAGCACGACCACCAGAACGACAACCATCACGACCACCAGCACGACGACCACCAGCACGACCACCAGGACGACCACCAGCAAGACCCCAGCTCGACCACCTGCACGATCATCAACCAGCACTACCAGGCACCAGCACGACCAGCAGCACGACGTCCACTAGCACGACTGTGTTGGTGGTTGTGTTGATGGTTGTCGTGCTGGTGGTTGTGCTGGTGGTTGCGATGGTAGTTGTGCTTGTGGTTGTGCTGGTGGCGCTGGTGGTGGTTGTGCTGGTGGTTGTGCCAGTGATTGTGCTTGTGGTTGTTGTGCTGGTGGCTTCACTGGCGGTTGTGCTGGTGGATTTGCTGGTGGTTGTGCTGGCTGGCGGAGTTGGTGGTTGTTGTGTTGGTGGTTGTGCTGGTGGGGATTGTGCTGGTGGTTGTGCTGGTGGTTGTGCTATAGGGAGTTCGAAAGAACAAGGACGGCATGCTTGGCCTCAGCTTCGCGGACCTACTCTAAAATCATATGTCAAAAAGCCGTTTGTTGTTTCATGCCTTGCGGTCATCGCGCGAGTGATATTCGAACATCTACTTTTCTAAATAGTCACGCCGATGACGTTGTGCTGGTGGTTGCACTGGGGGATTGTGCTAAATGGGGGTCGGGCTGGAGGGTTGTACTTTGGGGTTGTGCTGGTGGTTGTGCTGGTGGTGGTTGTGCTGGTGGCTGTGCTGGCGGCGCTTGTGGTGGTTGTGCTAGTGCTTGTGCTGGTGCATGTGCAGGTGGTGGTTGTGGTGGTTGTGCTGGTGGTTGTGCTACTGTAGTGGTTGTGCTGGTGTTTGTGCTGGCGGTGCTGGTGGTGGTCGTACTGGTGGTTGTGCTGGTGGTGGTTGTGCTGGTGGTTGTGCTGGTGGTTGCGCTGGTGGTTGTCCTGGTGGTTGTGCTGGCGGCGCTGGTGGTGGTTGTGCTGGTGGTTCTGCTTGTGGTGGTTGTGCTGGCGGTTGTGCTGGTGGTTGTGTTAATGGTTGTGCTGGTGGTTGTGCTGGCGTCGCGGCGAAGCTGGTGGTGGTTGTGCTGGTGGTTTTGCTATTGGTCATGCTGGTGG